AAGAACTTCAGGCGAAGCTCTCACCTTAATCGACACCACAGAATTCACAGTCAGGAGGAACCCTGCGAGTGCAAGGAGTGTGGGAAAACCTTTAGTCAAGCCCTGCTCCTCACCCACCATCAGAGAATCCACAGTCACTCCAAAAGTCACCGGTGTAATGAGTGTGGCAAAGCCTTCAGCTTGACCTCAGACCTCATTCGGCATCACAGGATTCACACTGGAGAAAAACCGTTCAAGTGTAAAGTATGCCAGAAAGCCTTCCGACTAAACTCACACCTGGATCAACACATAAGAATCCATAACGAAGAAAAGCCCTACAAGTGTACCGAGTGTGGAGACGCCTTCCGGCAGAAGTCAGGTCTCTTTCAGCATCAGAGACATCACCACAGAGGCAGACTGGCTTGATGAATGTTTTCTCTGTGTAGAACATTAGAAGGAACACAGAGAAGCAAAGAACATGCCAGAAGAAGTCTGGCCAACTAGTGTTGGAGAATGCTCCAGGGCCAAGTTGGAAGCCATTTGCTTCCCTTTCCCCTCCTCTGTGTTCCTTGAAGCTGGCCTAGTACTGCAGTACACAGCACTGTGTGAGCAAAGCAAAACAGCAGTCTTCACTACAGGACTTCGAAGAGGCTCTAATGTGATAATTGCATGGTTGTGTATCTCCATGTAGCCTGTGACTCATTGAGGCCTTTGAGAATAGCAGCCAGTCAGGTGTCCGCAGGTTTAGACACTGATGGAAAACAAGGGCAGGGTGGTATTTTAGATACCATGGCAACAGACTCATTTTCTCCATTGGCTTTACCTCCTCCTTTCTGCTGGCCTTACCTCCATACTCCCCATGCATAACCAATGGAAGCATTTTAGAAAGCAAAGAACTTTTGTGGTTGACTGTAGTACTTGTCCTCATGTCACTTTACGTTCTCCATCCCCATCCCCATCCCCACCACATCTCATTGGTTCATGTCACAAATCAGAGTTTTACTTAGACTATGGAAGAAATTCCATGAGTCATTTGATTGAACTGTGCTGGAATAATCCAAGTAGCAACTGTCTTACTTGATAACTCCAGTGCTGGTACAGTGACTGCTGGATAGATTCTCTTCAATAAATGTCCAGTGAAAGAAATCAGACTTCTTCTTTTTAATATTGGAGATGCAGTTTTTGAATGTTGCTTGTTTTGGAAATTACTGAACGTCAGCAATAAAGTCACCTTTTAGAGGAGGTCACTATCTCTGTATAAGTAACTCTTAATGATTAAGAGTATTATGGTTATCGGCCAGGGATTTAGCTCAGTGGTTCTGCTGCCTGCCTCACAAGCACAAGGTCCTGAGTTCAATCCCTGGTACCAAAAAAAAAGGATTATGGTTAGAGGAGTCGGCTCCCAAGCACATATGGAAGGTAAACATGGCTTACTAGTTGGTAGTAGCTGCATGAGGTACTACGCCCTGAAGACGTTTTCTCAATCTGCCAATGTGGGAAGAAGGCTGAACCCTCATAGTGATTAGAAGTTCAGCTGCATGTAATTTAAGAAAGCAGGAGAGACTTTGTAAAGCTTTTTCCTCTAATAGAAAAAGTTGGAGATGATCAGGCCAGGAATGATAAGATGGTTCCCTGGTATCACTAGGGTCTGAGTCTTCTGCCATTTTGCTCCACCATCCTGGTCCATGCCAGCAGTTTTAAGACCCTTACATGATACTTGATGGCTGCTGAAGTTTCAGACATCACATGTAAAATGTGGAAAACAGCAGGACAAAGAGGTTTCTCCCAATTCTGTCAGCACTCAGCTGCCTTCCCAACGCATGTATCTCTGGCCAAAACTTAGGGAAGGAAGGCAGGAAGGACGTTTAAAGCATAGTCATAACTGCCAAAACTTAGAAGAAAGCTGGATGTCCTTCTGCATTTGAAGGAATAATTAAACTGGGCCAGTTTTTGCCAGCACAGTGTCGCACCTATAATCTCATCTATTTGGGAGGCTGGGGCAGGAGGGTCAGAGTTCAAGCCTGGCCTGGCAATTTAGTGTGACCCTGACTCAAAAAATAAAAATAACGGGATGTAGCTCAACAGCAACATGGCCCTGTACCACAACAAACAAAACCATTGGCCTAGTTTTAAAGATGTTTCCTATTTTTGCTAGTGAATTGAACATCTCCTTATGTGCTAATCATTTACAGTTCTGATTTTGTGAGTAGCCTCCTTTCCTGACAGTCTCCTCTTAAGCAGCAATGCCCTTAAAAATATTGTAAATAGGGAGCTATCAAATTTTAAATACATGTCTTTTGACAGTTCTAATATGTCATATTTATCAAACAAATATAAAAGAATAGAGAGATTGAATGGTGTTCCGTGCAGTATTAATTATAAAGAAAAATACAGCGGTGCATAACGACACATGCTGTAACCTCAGCATTCTGGTGGCTGAGACAGAAAGATCTCAAGTTTAGCAACTTAAGCTAAACCTGTCTCAAAAAGGGTGAGAGGGCTAGGGTGTGTGAAGGCCCTGGTTCAATTCCCAGCACGGGGAGGGGTACAACAAATACACTGCAGTAGGGGAGTTAAGCATTGGTGGTTTAAAATACATAGACACATACTATTGGCTAACTGAGAAGTTTGAGTGCTATTATGTGGTAGCACCCTAGGGAGATAGTAAAAATACGTATTAACCGTGGTCACCTCCCAGGAAACACTGTCTCCATGTGACCTGAGTTTTCCTTGTGTGTGTGCAATCTGTGTACATAAAATAATTTACTCCTTTTGCGTTATTTTAATTATCCTAGCTCTTATTCCAGCCCATGAGGACTCCAGCAGATTTATCTTTGTCTTCCCATCCTGCTAGTTTTTAGCTGAAATGATTCACAGAAATACGGATGTGAGCGGGCCGCGGAACGGGCCCAGGCCAGAGGCGGGGCAGCGGGCTCCTCCCGGCGCGCCACCGAGACGAGGGCCGCGCGGCTAGAGAGGCACGGGAGCCGCCGGAAACCGTAGGGCTGGAGGCCCGGCGAGAGGAATGGCGTCCAGCTCCGGCGCAGGAAGGGCCCTTCCGAACCCAGCCAGGAGTAGGAAGTGCGTCTACCGCCTTCTCCCTCACAGGAAACGCCTCGCTCTGAGCCCCGCGCCGGGAAGCGCTCTCCGGTTTGAGTCCCGGTCCCCGGCGTCTCTGCACAGGCACCTGAAGCCCGCGAGAAGTCCAGCAGTGTCCGCAGAGTACCAGGCGCGCCGGCCGGGCGTCCTGGAAGAGCTCTCCGCGGGCTGCGGGAGGCCAGCGGTCTCTGTTGCGGAACGCGGACAGCAACGCGGACAGCGAGGGAGGTGGGTGCAGTTTGCCGCGATGGTGGCGAGGTCAGCACACTTTCCCCATGCGCACATCAGGCTCGGGGCTGGGGCGTGGGACTTTACATTAGAAGGATGATCCTGGGCGTGAAAAGTGGGTGGGAAGAATTTGAGTAGTCAACATGGCAGTGACTCCAGGAATTTGGTAAGACCATGGTTTTCTTGAAGGGAAGAACTCTACCTTTTCTTCCAGATCTAGCTTTAGTCCTCGAAAATAATGAGGTCCTCAGTAAATCGAGTGACAAACCAGTACAACCCAGTAAAGCGCAGATCCCGAGGAGTTTGAATGTAATTCATGGAGTATTTGAAACTTATTTTTTTGAAAAGTTTCTCTGCTCTCACACCACAACAGTGAATGTACAAGACTTATGTCCTCAGTAGGTGTAGCGATCCCCACCCCCGCGCTCCCAGGCAAGCAGTTAATGGGTTTTGGCAGGGAAAATAACTCCCAGCCTGTTAGAAGTACGATGTGCTCAGTTCGCGGTCACACCACATCGAGGAATTGTCGCTGTCATGGGCTAGGTCCGAGAGTCCCTGAGGCGGAAATAAGGAATTTAACCCATCCCTTTAAAATAAGTAGGCAGATTTGCTGACTCCTGTCATGGATAAAGGATTTTCAGGACGCATCAGTAAAAGAGGAATAATAAGGATAGGATGCACTCAAGAGTGGAATTCAAGTGCTCAGTAAGGCACAGCACAATTGGGAGCTTTTATTTGTTTTATGTTTTAGGTGGAAATCTATGGAATTCGATTATCTGTAGTCTTGGTCTTAGTTTTAGTTTTAGTCTTAGTCTTAGTGGGTCAGAGAGGATGGTCCACCCCTAGTGAGATAGTGGTCTGTCTATGCCTATGGAAAATGTCAAAAGGGTGGTCTGTTCATGGCTAAAAAGTTCCATTTCCAAATAAAAAGGAAGAGACCCCTTTGCAACTGAAAGGGAGTTGCCCAGGTTAGCTGTTTGGGGAGAAGGAAAAAAATTGTGAATAAATCAGGCTTGTGTTCTGAGGCTGCAGTTTTTCTTTAAAGTAAAATTTAAAATATCTTGATTTCTTTTTTTCCTTTCTACCCAGCTTTATTTCTTCTATGCTACCTTAGAATGAAGTCAGGAACCAAAGATGGAAATCAGGAAAGTTGTGTTGGAATTAAGACTAGCTCCTAGGTTTTCAGGAGGGTCCTGAGTGGCCTCATTACCTTCAGTCCAGACCTAATTGTAGGTAAGCAGAACTCAGGAAATGCTCAGTTGTTTACTGGCCACCTAATCAGTGTGGGTGGCTTTGTGGACTTAAAATGACTAATTGAAACTTGGGCTTCTAACCCAGTTCCTAAGCATACAGGGTTTAAAGGAAACTGAGATTTTAGAGAACAAACTGATTATTTTTCATTTTAAATTCCTCAAAACTCAGGAGCTTTGTAGAGAGTGGCTATACCTCCCTTTTGTAGGGTGTGGGCTGCATTCCAGGTTGCCTGAGGAAGTTTGTCCTTGATCCAAAGTCCAAGTGGACTGTCTATTCTTATTTTAATTTTTATCAATATGGTTGGTCACCCAACTCTATCTCAGGCCCTTCCCCTAGCTAGCTGCCTTATTTATAAGCTAACTGCATGAAACATTCTTTACAGGGTATCCCCTTGTTCAGTCCGGTTATATCCTACAGTTCAAGGGCTCAGTCTCAGGAAACTATCCCTCTCTTGTCAGTCAGAAGCCCCAGATTGTTTTAGCTGTGCTTCTGACTGGCTGACTGTTCCTACTGCCTCCTACTTGAGCTCACAGAACACAGGGGAAAGCTTTATGTTTACTGGTGTATTATTAAGGATATTACAGAGGATACAGATGAAGAGTTGTGTAGGACAGAGGTTAAGGCACAAAGAGCTTCTATGCCTTGTGCACACACCAGCCATCAGGAACTTTGCACATCTAGCTATCTAGAAGCTTCATAAACACTTTTTTGGGGATTTTATGTAGGCTTTGTTACTAGGTATGATCAATTAAATTATTATCTGTTGGTCGTCAACTTAATTTTCAGTTCCTCCCTCCTCCCAGGAGGTTGTAAGGAGGACCTGAAAGTCCCAACCCTGTAATCCTGCTTTGTTCCTTTAGGTGACCAGATCCTGGCCTGAAACCACCTAAGCAGACACTTATTTGAAGATTTCAAAGATTTTAAGAGTTGTATGTGAGAAAACAGGGACAAGTACCAACACATATTTCACAATATAACAGGAGGTATGTTGGATGTGTCCAGAATTGTGCTTTAGAAACTATTAATCCAACGATAGAATAGGTATTCAAGGAATACCACATAGAAAAGTGTTTTTACAGTGAATGGAACAGTGATAAGGAAATTAAAAGAGAGGAATAGCTTAGGGATTCTGTGGAATTATCTGTATTCAGAGATAATTAAATTAAATTGGGGTCTGGTATTAAACCTGATGCATGGAAGATGGTGCCATCATTAGAAATGGAGAGATACAGACTGAGTGGAGCTTTAATGGACTATATGGTTCAGTTGGGATTTGTTCAAATTATGGTGCAGGACAGGCCTACACCTGGAAGCATCCTGGTGATGTTTCAGGATAGGAGTCAGAGCTAAGTGTGGTGGCGCAGCCTGGAATCCCAGCATTATGTAAGGCTGACGCAGGAGGTTCACAAGTTTGAGCCCAGTCTGGATAACTCAGTGAGACTTTGTCTCACAAAAGGAAATAGGAGATAGCTCAGTGGGAAGGCCCTGCCTGAGTTCATCCACTGGTACTGAAAACCAAACAAGAAACAAAGTAAGATGTTGGTCAGAGTGTGAAAGGCGAAGTGGAGCCAGATAAAGATTTGAGTTTGGATTTTTTTGAGATAGCATCTCACTGTGTAGTAGGCTGACCTTGAACTCACTATCTACCCAAGTGCTGGGATTACATTCCCTGCTCAAGCATTCTTCCTGTTAACCCTTCTCCCCTCGTATCCTACCTCCCTTACCTCTGGGTTTAGCCTCTTCATAATCACAATGTACCTCTGATTCAGTGCGTGTACAGTAGAGGCAAGCAGGCTCAGCTTTTGAGTGTGACCTGTACTGGGGACAAAAATGTATTACATACAGCTTTGGAGCTCTGTGATTTGAATATTGTGCCTCAATTCTTATGCTTTAGATGAACATTTGGAAAAAACATTTCTGAAGTATAGAACTCAGCCAAGTGACCTTTTCTCTAGCTTCTAAGCTCAACATGTATGAAGGTTTGCCGGGCTCCATTTCTGAAAATGAACACAGTATCCTGAAAGTGAAGATAGAAGACACCACCTGCGAGCAGGCGTATGGCTCACAGGAGCAGAGCTCCCGCACTCAGGAACTCTGCCGACTGCAGTTCCGGCAGTTCTGCTACCAACAGGCTCCTGGGCCCCGGGAGGCTTTGGCTCAACTCCGGGAGCTCTGCCGTCAGTGGTTGCGGCCAGAAATGCACAGCAAGGAGCAGATCCTGGAGCTGCTGGTGCTGGAGCAGTTCCTGGCCGTCCTGCCCGGGGAGCTGCAGGCCTGGGTGCAGATGTATCCTCTGCAGAGTGGGGAGGAGGCCGTGAGAGTGCTGGAGAATCTAGCAGCAGGACGTGGAGACACAGGACAGCAGGTGATGGGTGGGGTGGCGCTGGAGAAGAAAGGGAGGATGTGTGTCTCTTAATCTCTAACTTTTTATTTTGAGATAATTTTTAACTTACGGATACATTGGGAGAACAGTGTGCAGAACGCCTGCGGATGCGTCAGCCAGATTCCCCAGGTGCTAACGCTTGTCTCATTATGTGCCCCATCCCGTGTTTCTGTAAAGCAAGTCCTTCCTGTGTGTGTGTGTGTGTGTGTGTGTGTGTGTGTGTGTGTGTGTGTGTGTGTACGTACACACACGTATTTTTTTTCCTGAAGCATTTCAGAATGAATTGCAGACAGTCTGTCCCTTTATCTTTAAACATTTTGGTGTTAATGTCTGAAGAGCAAAGACATTCTCTTATAAAACCAAAATATAATTATCAAATTTAGGGAAATTAAATTATCATGATATATCATATAACCCTAGTCCTGCCCACATTTTGCCATATTACCCCATTACTGTTCTTTATGGCAGTATTTCCTTTCATTTGGGAAATAAGTCATCATCACATTTAGTTGCTATTTTCTCCTGACTAGATCCAGGTTGCACATCTTGAAGAGAGTATCTACCACAGAGGTGATGTTGTGTTTTCAGGAGGAACATGGTGATGGTTTCTCCCATTACTGATGAGGTCCTGGTAGTGCCTCTCAGACTGGCTCACTAGAAAGTTACTGTTTCCCCTTTGTAATTACTATTTACCTTGTGGGAAACATTTTGAGACAGTGTCCTAGTCCTCACTAAGCCTTTACCCACTGGTTCAGGCATTCTGGCTTTGTGTGTATGTGGAGGAACCTTTGCCTTTCTTACCGGCCTTGCTATGGAATAGGGGCCAGCTCCTGTCAGGCACGTAAGCCCTTATTTGCCAAATGAATGAACGAATGTGTCCACTTGCTCCTGCTTTACAGAATTGAGTGAGGCTTGTTCTAGGTTTCGCTAGGGAAGTCCTAACAGTTGTTTGCTCTGGTTCCCACCAGGATGCCTTTTCAAGGTGAATCTTTTTGTCTCCAGGCCTCTTTCTACATTCAGGAACAAGATATGCACCTAGTGGTGACAGACTATCAAGGAGCCTCTTTGGAGAGTCACAGCCTCCAGCTCCTTCCCAGGGTAACCACCCTGCCAAGCGAACCTCCACAGCTCCCCCAAGAAGTGAGTGGTGAGTGCCACAGGGTGAGTTAATGAGGACAGAGGAGCAGGCCAGCAAGAGATACACCACTTCTTAGTGGAAAGTTGATTGTGTATGTCCTCAAGTTGTGTTTCTTATTTTTGTTTACACTGTGAGGTGACTGCCACCAGCTGCTGAACACATCTGTCACCTCACAGTTATATCTGTGTGCATGTGTGTGTGGTAAGCATACTTGACACCTTTCAGGAAGAGTCAAGTATGAAGCTGGGCACAGTGACACACACCATTGTTCCAGCTTCCCAAAAGGCTAAGGTAGGAGAATGGACCCCTGGAGGCCAGAAGTTCAAGGCCTACGTAGGTCACATAGAGATTCTCTTACCATTTTTTTGTAAAAAATCAAGTATGCAATATATTATTAACTATAGTCAGCATGCTATACATTTGGTCTCCAGAACTTCTTTTCTAGAACTTCAAGTATATGCCCTTGACCAGTGTCAGTAAAGATAGAGTGGCTCAAAGGTAGGCTGTAGTGGATTTTGTGCTGCACTACCCAAAGTGCTCATCACCAGCTTCTTCCTCTCCTTACTTTATTTATACCTGTGAATTTAATTTTTCTTTATGTATGTAAAAATTTATCATTATTAAGCACCTTATAAATTCATAAATGCTGCTCATTTCTGTGAATGGAGACCCTAAAATTTTAGAATCTTTTGAGTTTTTGGTAGCATGAAGAATCACAGTACTTTCAGTCTCAGACAGTGAGACCTGCATCTTAGTTTGGATATTTAGCAAATACAAGGTTTGGGGTGCTGGGTCACAAACAGGACACTTCAAAGCCTATCATGTCTCACTTAGGATTCTTGACTACTCTAGCGAGGGTTTGCTCCCCAGGGACCAACCTTTCTCCAGGAAGAAAGCTCTAGAGAGAAGGCAGAAGAGCCTGAGTGTAGCCCGCCCTGGGTCCAGGTGAGCGGACAGCTGTGGGAACTGAAGTACAGCCCCTCCTCCTTCATCTGCCCTTTGCCCTTTTCTGCCCACATTCCTCATCTGAGAGCCTTTCTGGCGCGTGTGTCTTCCACGTTCACGTTGTCTTAGAATGAATGTCACAAGAACTTGGTCTCCTGTTTCCTCCTCTTACCCCATGTATGGGAGGCACTCTGTTTGAGAGTGAGGGGTGGGGTTTGGCCTTTGGTTTCAGTTTGCATTCATTTGATGCAGAATGATTGATAATTTCTCTTTTGGGGGTCTATGGTTTCTCTCTCCAGCCTGAGGACTTCAACCTATTGTCAACAATAAGTTGTTGTCCTTTATATTCTGGGTTCAGCATATACCCATATAACACTTGGGGAAATTCTGTACATCTAAAACAAACTTACATTTTTTTCAAGAAATTGACACTTTTGTTTTGGAAGCAAAACCTCTATTGGTACATTTTAGATACATATAATGATAACATTTATCATGGAGAATTTGTACCTGTACATGATGCATCTTTTTTTCCCCATTCCCCCTCCATTTGACCTCTCTTCCTTCGCTTATTTACAAAAGCTTTGTTTCCATTTCTTCCTTCTATTCCTTTTTTCCCCTGTCCTTTCTTTGCTTTCTCCCTCCCTGCTCCTTTATTCCCCTTCTCCTTGAAACATTTTTTTTCCATTTCCCAATATTTATTATACATTTTGGTCCTTATTTCCACTTTTGGCTTCTCACACCAGACAAACAATAAGGTACTTAAATATGTGTGTCCAATTTATCTCACTTAAGAATATCATCTTTTTTTTTTTTTAAGAATAACATCTTAAGATGCATCCATTTAGCTAGAAATATTTCAAACTTATCCTTCTTTGTGTCAGAATAGTATTCTGTTTTACAAAACCACATCTTCTTTATCCATTTGTCCATTGATGGGCATTTGGGCTGTTTCTAAGATTTTGCTATTATAAATTTCATTACACTGTAGTCTGATAATATGCATTAGATAATTTCAATTCCTTTGCATTTACTTAAGCATGTTCTATGAGCTAGTATATGGTCTGTTTTGGAGAATGTCCCATGTGCAGCTGAGAAGAATATTCTGATGTTGGGTGGAACACTGTAGACATTACTAAGTCCATTTGTTCAGAAGTTTGGTTCAGTTCTGATATTTCTTCATTGATTTTTTTGTCTAGTTGATCTATTTGTGACAGTGTGGTATTGAGTCTCCCATTACCATTGTATTAGTGCATATTTGATTTTTTTTTCCTTTGGTACTGGGGATCAAACTCAGAACCTTGTGCTTGTGAGGCAGGCGCGGTGCCGCTGAGGTAAATCCCCAGCCCAGCTTATTTGATTTTTAGTATCTGTTATTATTTGTTTTATATAATTTGGTACACTGGTGTTTGGTCCATATATATTTATGATTGTTATCCCTTCCTGTTGGATTATTCCCTTTACAAGGATATAATGACCTTCTTTGTCTCTCTTAATCAGTTTTGGCTTGAAATCCACTTTGTCTACAAATAGAATAGCTATCTCTGCTTTTTCTGGGTTCCTGTCACATGGAATATTGTTTTCCATCCCTTGACTTTCATTCTGTGAATCTTTTTGAATCACATATGTTCCTTGTATGCAGCATATTGTTGGATCTTGCTTCTTGATCCATTCTGCCAGTCTGTTCTTTTTGATTGATGAATTGAGACTATTTAGATTGATGGTTATAACTGATACATATTGACTTGTCCTTGTCATGTTATTTTCCTGTTGTTGGTTCCCTTTTTTCCCCCGTTTAATTCCTTACCTTGCCTGGTGGATTCATTCTGTTGGAGTTCATGGAGCTGTAGTGCTTTTACCTGTTTCTCTAATGTCCTTTAGAAAATTTTTCAGTGCTTGTTTGGTAGTCATGAATTTCTTCATATGTTCTTTGTCATGGAAGTATCTTATTTTTCCATCAGTTTTAAAAGAAAGTTTTGTGGGGTCCATCAGTCTGGGTTGGAGGTTGTTTTCTTTTCGGGCTTGAAATACTTTGCTCCAAGTTTTCCTTGACTTGAGGGTATGTCTTCTGTGATTCTGATGGGCTTACCTTTATAGATGATTTGTTTATTTTTTTATAACAGCTTTCGATGTTGTTTTCTTGTGTTGAATTTCTAGAATCTTGACTGTTATGTTCCTTGGTGTAGATTTTTTTTTCATCATGACTAATTGGAGTTCTATATGTCTCACTTATCTGTGTGTTAAATTCTTTTTCCCTGATTGGTAAGTTTTTTGCCATTACTTCTATGAACAGGTTTTTAAAAAAATATCATTTGCGCTATCTCCCTCTTCCCCCCCCCCTTGGTACCGGGGATCAAACTCAGGACCTTGCACTTGCCAGGCAGGCTTGGTGCCACTGAGCTACATCTCTGGCCCTATCACCTGTTTTCTAATTGACTCCAGTGAATCTTATATTATTCTTCTTTGCATCATCTAGCAGTTATTGTATTGATTTTTCATGGTCCCTTACTATTTTTAAGAGTTTTTTTTTTCATGATCACTAACCACAGTCTGATATTCTGTCCTCACATTGGCTCATTCTGCTGCATATACTTTAAATGGAATTTTTAATCTGCTGGATATCTGTTTGAGTCTCTTTCATGGATTCCATTTCTTTCCTATGTTGGGTGTTCATGGATTTCATCATTTTCCTAAACTCTTCAATTTTTTTTTTAATCTGTCTGCTCTAGAGTGACTAATCATGTCTTGCATTATGGTCATCATCTCTGAAGTTATCTGAAAAACTTTCTGATTTGATTTTTTTTCTAGAGCCTCATTCATTGGCTTTGTTACTTCTGCTGTTATCACTTCAAAGTGCAGGTGCATGAGTTTAAAATTGTTCCACCTCATTGCTCCATGGGTTGTATCTTGCTTAAGTGTCTTCTCATTTTCTTTGTTCCTTTTTATTTTAGTTCCTGGGTTGATGCTTGTAAATTGTGTTTTGCAAGTAGCTTTATTGGTAGTATTTAGAACTCTTAGGAAATGAGTAAAGATGTCTTCTAGTTGTAGCTGGCTTTTGGGTTTTGAGTCTGTTAGAAAATCCTACCTCTTCAATTTATTGGGGATGAGAAGTTTCTGCCTATTTGGCCTAGTCTCTGTTATTTTGGCACTGGGATATAGTATTGTTTATGACTCTTAGGCAATCTCAGTTTTGGTGGACCAGGAAGAACAACTGATTAAAACAATAATGTCACCTTGGCAAAAGTAGAACAATCAGCAATAACGGTGGCATCAGATACAGCCTAGAAAATGACAAACGGTGGTAACCTGATTTGCCACCTTTACCATTATGAACTACATTTGTAGTTATGTAACAAAATCTAATACAAACCCAAAAATTGTATACAGTAAGTATGCCCTTGGTATGATAATTTTACCCTCAGGAGAGAACATTTAAAAATGGTTAGTGGGGAAAAATAGAGAAATAGAAAAATAGGAATGAGAAGCAAGACTGGAATACAAAGGAAAATTATGCAAACTTTGGGGAACTGATGAAGAAAACAGGAAGGAAATAGAAAATGAAATGAAAATAGGAGCAGAATAGAACAACAAAAAAACTAGAAAGTGTTCACACATAAAAATAAAAACAAAAAGAAAAAAAGAAAAAACGAAAACAACAAAAAAATGTCCATTTCAAGGTATTCGCTGGTAGACAAATTGGGCACACAGAGCCCAGACCCATGCTAATGAATTCCAGCAATGCGGCTGCACGTTTAGAGCAGAGTAACGGATAGTCCCAGGAAGCCTGCACCTTTAGTTCTGAAGCCCAGGCTCGTTTGTGGCTGAGGCTGAACCCAGCTTGTTCAGTGTCTCCTGCCTTGATCTTGGTGCCCTGCTGGTGTGAACTGGGCTCCTTGACCTTCTGTCCACTTCATCCCAGTGGAGCCAGCCCGCAGCTGCTCTCATTTCCAGGCTCATTTGGCCCGTCTGCAGGATGGTACCAGCCAGTCACCCTCTTCTGGGGAGAGTCTACACCTGAATAACTCACCAGCCATTGCAGCCCTGTGTCCACTGCTCGGTTCCACTGGAGTGTTTCTCCGGGGAGGCCTCTGGGCTTGCCAGTAGTCACAGTGTGTCTGTAGGTGTGAGCTGACCTCCCAACCGGTGTGTCAGGGATCAGGGAGGAAGTGCTGCTTGCCAGCTCCTTTGTTGAAGTCTCTCTCCTTGCTCTCCCTGTGGGCATCAGTTCTCGCTTCAGATCTTTGTGGGGTCCCAGGGACTCACGTCCCTCCTTCTCTTCCTCATGTTGGTATATTCCAGCATCTGGACACCGAATCTCAGATGCTATTTGTCTGCTGTTCACCACTCTGCCATCTTCCCTGACACTTTTCGTTTTACCTCCATATTCTCTTGGTGGCTTTTTAATTTTTTTTGGTTATTTTGACCCTTTTTAAATTGTGGCTCAGGAGTAGAGCACTGGCCTGCCTTGCATGGGGCCCTGGTTTTATCCACAGCACTGCAAAGTATAAATAAATTCTTTACCGTTTACATCCTGGTGCACACTGTTGCCACATCCGTTTCCTGAGGACATCATCCTCATGGCAGCTCTTCAGTCTCTGTGCCTCTGTATGGTCTTAGTCCCATCAGACCTAATGACTCCTGTTCCTGGTCAACACTTCCTTCTGAAAAGGAATGCGTGGAAAATGAAACCTGCTTATACACATTTTAAATGTCAGTGTCATTGCCTTAAATGGAACATAAAAGCAAAGAAAAAGTGATTTATATTTTTTGGTAATTTTTTTGTGTTTTTTTTTTTTACTGATTTATATTATTTAAAAGTGTGTATTTCATAAGGTAGAATGCTTGGACATGACTGTACCTGTGGAAATAACAGAGTGCTTAGATGCTTGCACTGATGTATAATCAGTGAGTCTGCATTAAAGAAGACTAAGATCATTGGTCCAGGAAGATCAAAGGGTAGAGGTGTAGGTGAGCAGTGGATAAAAACTAGTACTGAGTCAGATAAGAAAAAGGCCAGATCGAAAGAAGGAAATAACTTTATTTAAAGTAAGGCTAAGATGTGGATTATATTCTGTTCCCTCAAAGACCTAACCCCAGGTACTTCTTGGTAGGACCTGATTGGGCACTAGGCTCTTTGTGGATATAATAATTTGAGTGAGGTCATGCTGGATTAGGGTGGCTCCACAGTACAGTGGCAGGTGGGCTTGTGTGAAGGCCAAGTCAAGAGAAAGGCAGCGAGGATGTAAGGGGACAACTGCACCAGCCATCCACACGATGCATCCACAGCCCTGAGCCTCGGGTTGACAGTGAGCACCAGAAGGTGAGAAAGGCCAGGAGCCTCCCTGCAGATTTCAGGGAGAGAGCAGAGCCTTGCACATACCTTAACAGAGGATACATTTCTGCTGTTTCAGTCTCTCAAAGTTGTGCTTTCAGAGCCCTAGGAAACCAATGTAGATTTCAAGGAAAGTCACCAATTGATAAAGAGGTCATAAGGAGGGATGATAGTATTTAAATGAGGTAGGCTTTTTAGTATCAAAATAATGTTTTACAGTTCAGAATGGGGTGATGTTGAGGTAAAGAGAAAGCTTCATCTGCCTCGAAACCCTCTTCTCATCAAAACAGCCATCTAGTCTGGGAAAAGCAGCAGTGTAAGTCAGTGAAAAGAGAGAGTAGACTGAAAAATGAAACAAAAGTAAGAGGTTAATAAGCCGTGTGGTGGACCTTCCAGGATAATGTCATATAAGTGTGAAACTATAGACAACCCCCAAAACAAATAATTACGGTGTACAAGTTTTCTAACATACGTCATTGCTGGCTTTGAATAATCTTTATGAGTGAAATTTGTGTAATCTCTGAATTTACATTAAGTTCCATATCTGTTAAAAGGAGTCTCCAGACTCCTCCATTATATATTTGTAGTCATTCTAGTTATATGTACAGTAAGTGAAATACCATCTTGAAGTAAGAAATGCTATTAAATCAGTGAGGACAGCTGTAGTGAGTCAGCTTTTGTGACAGTATCTTTTCTTCATCTAAGCTTTCTTCTGTGAAATACTCTTAAATTACTGTTTTTTCAGTATCATTCCATGAAACTCCTCATGATTCTTATCCTCAGTTGTATCTGGTTCACACTGAGTGTAGGCTTTGTCCGGCCGGCCATGTGAAAGGCCTGTTGGTTACTGGGCCTTGTTGTAGTGTGGGGCTCTTCCAGGCCTTGAATCTGGCCTCAGCCTCCGGTAGCATTGGCATGAGCTGGTCTCGTCATTGTTACACTAGAAAGTTGAGTGCCCTGTGTGCTTGGTACCATCTGTTCAGTGAGATACTCAGCACCCCTTACAACTAGACCTGCATCTCTGCCACAGTGAAGCCAGGAGGCCATGTTTTCCTTTTAGATGTCGGTGAAGACTGAGGAAGAGCCAGCCCAGGCTTCTGCACTGGTAGAGTGGCCACGTCTGAGTCTGGCTCCAAGGAACCTCTGTGGGAACTCGGCTCAGGAGACGGCTACAGGCCTGATGAGTAAGCACAGGCCTCTGCCTGGTCCCCTTCACTGACCTTGGCTGGGCTCTTGGGAACCCACACCACCTGTGGGCCCTCCCCTGCTCTCCCTTCTGAGGGCTCTATCTCAGACTTCTCTCGGCCCTTACTATTTTGTACCCTTCCTACTAATGTTATCTTTTGCCTCTAATCGCCTAAGTTACTGATTCTTGTGATCTTCACTGAATATCTCTCCCCCTTGGAGTCGTCTCCTTTGACTCCTTTTCTTTTTCTTGCCCATGAAGAGTTCCAGGTAATTTGTCATTCTCAGGTATCTCTTTATCTTGGAAGCCATGTGAATACCTCTGCCTGGCCCCTCTGTCCCTCAGAAGAGGTGCTGTTTCATGCTCTGCTCTGCTGAGCACTCTGCCCAGCTGGTCCTGTCCCCAAGTGCACCCTTTCCATACTGTGCCACATTTCATAGGATTGTACCTGACATGCCTGTCAGTTCCCTTCCCTAGAGATTGTTTTTTCTAAATTCATGGAACAGATGTTATTTAAATAATTAATGTGTTATTTAAGAAATGGTAACAAAAGGTATTTTGTTTAATGTAGAGCAAAACACCTGTGAAGAAATAGGACCAGGTGTCAAGACCTCAGAAGTACCCAGCAGGTGAGTGCCTGTGGTCCTAAGTGGCCTATTCCTGCAGACAGAAGAAATTAGACTGGAGCTAGGGAAACCATTATGTCACCGTCTGCTGCCCTGAATAAATAAGAAAAGAGAATGCCACTCTCCCTTGTGTGATTATGGAGGCCTGCACTAAGATGCCCTGTCAATACATAACAGTTACACAAAACTTAGAACTGACGCACACAGCTACCTCCAGAAACCTACCCTCTGTCCTGCTCAGTTATTCTACCTTGTGCTTCCTTGCATTTTCTTGGAGACATAAATGGAGAAGCCAGAATGCAAAGAGTTTAGATGACAGTAAAGGCTGCCAGGGAAGCTGCTGTGAAAGTTAAGGAAGAAACATTACCATAGGAAGAGGGCTTGGAGAACACAAATGTAGGTGTTTTCAAACTCCATCAGGATACATGGAAAAAATCCAAAGGAAAGCTGACAAGAAATGGCAGGAGTAGGTGCTTCATGGTGTTGGTTGTGGGAACAAGCTAAGTGTAACATAGATACCTGTACAGCAGAAAGGGAGGGACCAAGTCCTAGGCAGCGGGGTGGCCTCTTGTGAGGCCATTAACTTATCAGAGACTGGAGAAAAGGGGACAAAACAACATGGGCTAATTAGCCTGAAGGGGAAGCAGGAGTGTGGTGAGGAAATGAATTCTCCTCATTGATGACTGTCTTAGGGAAAACAGGAAGCTAAATCATTCATTCATTTATTTATTTTGATTTTAGGAATTGAACCCAGGACCTCACCATGCACTCTACCACTGAGCTACACCATCAGTCCCTAAAATGGAAATCTCTTTCAAGTTTAATAAGAGAATTGAAATTTTTAATTAATTTCATTAATCAGAGCCCTGTTCTACTAAAGGAAGAGGCACGGTGTTTGGTGACTAAGCACAGGGCTATAACTGGAGACTAGACATGGGTCTGAAACCATGATTCACACTGCTGTAAGAAGAAGATATCACCCAGGGCATGGTAGCAGACTCAGGAGACAGAGCCAGTAAGATTGCAGGTTTTGGGGTGGGGATTAGCTCAGTGGTGCCGCCACCTGCCTCAAAAGCGCAAGGGCCTGATGTGGATCCCTGGTACCACCGACAGAAAAAAACAAAAAGATTGCAGGTTGCAGCTCAGTTTACACTGAGTAAGACCTTGTCTCAAAGAAGGCTGTTGAGGTGTGCTGCTTGGGCTGCACAGTGAGGCCTCTCTGCAAGGAAAAGGACTAAATGGGCCGGGGACTTAGCCCAGTGTAGCCAGCACCTGCCTTTCGAGCACAAGGTCCTGAGTTCGATCCCCGGTACCAAAAAAAGGGGACTAAATATGTAACTCAGTACCACAGAAAATGAATACAAGTACAACTTTAAAAGGATTGGAAATATAGGGAGGTGCTGTAATGATTACCTAGCATGTTTCAGGCCTTGGGTTCAGTCCCTACTGCAACTAAACATAATAAATATACCTTGCTCTTTCACATAACAAAATGCCTGGGGGTAGGCCGTGGGTGTGGTGTAGTGACTCTGCCTGTGTCAGCGATCCAGCCACCTGCAGATCCACACCTCTCTTCTGGTCCCTTCCCGGCCCACTTCCTTATCCCATTTCCCACTCCCAGATCCTTCCCATACCGTATCGTATCAGGCTTAACCCGTTTCCCATTTGCCTCAAGAGTGTTCCACAATGGCACTTGTGGGTGTGAGATAACTTGTAGATTATAGGCCTAACCTAACCCCTCAAATTTGCCCCCTAGTACTGCATTTTTCTTATTATTTTTGGATCACTTTAATGTATGGATAGCCTTTGGGAACAAAATACATTATTTATAGGATTCTGGTTTTAGTAGTGATATTTCCACTTAGGAAATTTGCAGATTCTTAATTGCTGAAAATGTCAAATCCCAGAAAATGTAGCATTTCTACATGTGATGTTAACATTGTTCTCAAACAGTTGTCAGCTAAAGATTCATTTGATGAATCTAATTTTTCCAAAGTAGATAATTCTGATGAATTTTTGGATAGTGGTTCATAAGGTAATATGGTAAGGCCCCTGTCCAATTCAGAATCTGTTGGAAATAGCCCCACATCACCTAACTTGGGTTGCACTTTGAAATAAATGGTCAGCTCATGTTATAATTCCATGTCAGAGGTGTGACTTTACCAGCATACCTGGCAGAAAAGTTGATGTCAGATACTTCTGACCCACTGCAGTATTTTGAACTCTTCAAAATATTGAACTACTGAGGAATTAGTTTGAAAAATCATGAGTGAAACAAATTCCCAGGCTGCCTTATTGGCTGCAGAACCACCTGGTCCAGAGGGATATTTGGAATGGCTAAATTGGAAGACACTGACAATAACGAATTGAATGTCTTTTTTGTAATAATGTTACTGCGAGGTATTCTGTAGAAACCTGAGCTGGAGATGTTTTGGTCAACAGTATCTCTTTTGGATATGCCTTATCTCAAGCAAATTATGACTGGTAAAAGGTTTTTACATTTGCTTTACTGTCTGGATTTTGTCAACAACTCTTCCATATCTGCTGGCCAATCAAAGGCTCAGACTTCATTGCAGAAGATCAAATCTGTTTGACTTTCTTGTAAGTTTTCAACTGGGTATACTCCAACAGAAATGCTGTAGTTGATGAATTGGTGCTCTTCAAGAGGTTGTTAGCTACGGAGCGGTATAGCCTGACGAAATGAACAGGATTTGTTCATCAAAGCCATATGCATTTTGTGACAGCCAGTGAGCGAGGCACTTATTTACACAGGACCCTTATGAATTTGAGATTCAGCTGACGGTGTGAAAGTATTCACATTGTTCTTACATTGGTCAGTGACCTTCTTGGCTATGAAGGATAGCTATCTAAGGATACTGTGTCTTCCTCGGTAATGTTTATACGTCTCCTATACTTTTCAGAGAATTGTATCAAAACAGGACTGAGGCAATTGGGACAGCTCCTTTGAACAGAAAAGATGCCAAATGATCTAAAAAAAAGGATTGCCAAGGGGACGACTGTAAGCCAGATTCTGTGATGAATTTGTGTCACTGAAATGGTTTGACAAAAAGGTAGTAACAGTTCTGTCAACATTCTGCAACAATACTGTGATTGAAATAGATGGCAGCAGTGAAAACTAAAGAGCCATTGTTAATATAACGAGAGTGAGACCAATGAGCTCAGCTGAATGGATGTTTAACTTTCATCCCACTGAGCGCAAAAGGTACAAGGTTTGGTATACCAAATTCTTTTGCCACCTTCTAAACATTACATTGCTGAACTCCTAAATCTTGTTCAACAATCCTGAGCACAAGAATCAGCTATGTAAACTTCAGACTGACTAAGGAATGCTGGAGCAGGATCACAAGCCAGGGCAGCCTCTTCCAAGTTGTCCATGCTCTGATACCACACTTATTCACCTATCTGGAAGACATTTCCCCAAGAGCATACCACCAACATCAGGAAAACAGGATACAGTTGGTCGCTGCAAAGTTTGCTGCTTGCACTACAATGATGGCAAGATTTGGAGATAAATGTGCTATTTTTGTACAGAATGTGATATTCTGTTTTCTGGTGTTCCATGGTTTGAAATTTATCAGGCACAAAAAAATTTATTAAATACTGATCATCGTATGCATTTCTGTTACCCTATGATTAGAAACAAATTCTGTTTAGAAATAACTCCAAAACCAAGTTTTATAGTTTATTTTTTTCAATGAAAAGTTAGATTTGTTTCAGCCTCAAAGTGTGTGTTTATGTACAATTAAATAAACTCTGGCAGTGAACTGCCGTTTTCCTAAATGGGAAATGGATTAATGCACTGTAGCTCTTGGAGTTCAGATTCCAGCACAGTGTGAAAACACAGTGTGCTGACCAGATTCAGGGAGATACCTGGACTTGATGATGTTGGGAGCCTGTGATGGAGTTGAGTAGGTATGCACAAAGACCTTGAAGACACTCAAGAGGATGACTGCTTTATTTTATTTATTTATTTATTTTTTGGTACTGGGGATTGAACTTGGGTCCTTGCGCTTGCAAGGCAGGCGGCGGAACCACTGAGCTAAATCCCCGGCCCTGAGGATTACTGCTTTAGTAAATAAACATTTAGTATAAATTAGGTTAACGTGCTTTTTCTCACTGCTGTTTTCCCCCTTGTGTCTTCTAAGGAGTTGTGTAAAATAGTACTTTTAATCCTCCTAAGTTTAGCTTCCTTCTTTGTAAATCTCTTCACAATCAGTTCAGGTACAGTGAGTTTCTTTTCCATTTCCTAAGTGAAATATACCACTTAGATGAATATGAAACTAAGAGGGTAAGTCCTTGCATGTTCAGAAATTCTGTGGTAGAATTCTGTGAGGAGGCCCAGGACATAACAACCTCCCCTATCCAAGAACCAGTTGGCAGGGAGTATGGAGTAAAACTGAAGGTTTTGGGGGCTGCGGATTTAGCTCAGTGCTTCTGGTGCCTGTCTCGCAAACACAAGGTCCCTAGTTTGATCCCCAGTACCAAAAGAATTTAGCTAAAACAGAAGGTTTTGGAAATTCACGTTCCTATTGACACTAGCTGTACTACATGAAGCAGTTCAGGGGCAGGGCAGAGCCAGATAGGCTCACACTGGCAGAAGTGTGCAGCTGTCGTCCTGTTCAGGCCGGTCTATTGCACTGGTGACAAGGAGCATCCTGCTCCTAAAGAGGACAGAGGGAGGGGAGGGGCTGTGCTAGAGGGGCCTGGTATAGTCTCCCAGATTTAACAACTGCTTGGGTCATGAGTGAATGAGAGGTAGAGAGAGGCCAGAAAAATTAACCCCAGTCTTCCCAACGGAAACAACGAGAAGTGAGACTAACCCCTCTTGCTGTCCTTCACGTTTGTCCTGTGTAGAGGAATGAGATTTGGGGTTTTTGTAGCATGTTCTTTTCTTTCCCAGAGATTGTGTGCCGCACATCCCTTGTAGTGCTGCCGTTCTTCCCGGAAAGACAGCCTTGAATTTTAATAATCCTGTGGATCGTCACCCACCCCGTGACTCCTGGGCCCGGATGCACATCACATCCTTGGAGTATGCAGCAGGAGACATTACTCGAAAAGGGAGAAAAAAAGACAAAGCTCGAGTTAGTGAACTGCTTCAAGGCCTTGCGTTTTCTGATGACTCAGCTGTGGAAGACGACAATGAGCCTGACACGCAGCCTACTCAGAAGAAGCTGAAGGTGGTAGGCACCCCAAAGAAGAGATGGACTAAAAGAGACCTTAATCCCAAATTTCCATGCTGGTCAGCATTGGATTCTGGACTTCTGAACCTTAAGAGTGAAAAACTGAACCCAGTAGAGCTCTTTGAATTGTTTTTTGATGATGAAACATTCAACTTGATTGTTAATGAAACAAATAATTATGCTTCTCAAAAAAATGTCAACTTGGAAGTCACAGTTCAGGAAATGAGATGTGTGTTTGGTATACTGCTTTGGAGTGGATTTGTAGGGTGTTCCAGAATGGGAATGTATTGGGAGATCTCTGATGCTGATCAGAACCTGGTTAGAGATGCAATTAGAAAAGACAGATTTGACTTGATTTTTTCATACCTCCATTTTGCAGATAATAATCACCTAGATCAAAAAGATAAGTTTTCAAAATTGAGACCTCTCATAAGGCAAATGAATAAAAATTTCCTCTTATATGCTCCCCTAGAAGAACATTATTGCTTTGGTAAATCAATGTGTGAATGCTTTGATACCGACCAGTTTCTGAATGGAAAGCCTCTTAGAATTGGTTATAAAATCTGGTGTGGTACAACCATACAAGGTTATCTGGTTTGGTTTGAGCCCTATCAAGAAGAATCAACTTTGGAGGCAGACAAGGATCTTGACCTTGGGTTAGGTGGCAATCTAGTGATGAACTTTGCTGATGTTCTTTTAGAGAAGGGCCAGTATCCCTTCCATCTGTGTTTTGATAGCTTCTTTACAAGTACGAAATTGATATCAGCCTTGAAGAAGAAAGGGGTGAGGGCAACTGGATCAATTCGTGAAAACAGGACTGAAAAATGTCCAATTATGAATGCAGAACATATGAAAAAAATGAAGAGGGGGTATTTTGATTTCCGAGTAGAAGAAAATGATGAGATAATTCTGTGTCGTTGGCATGGCAATGGCATTATCAGTTTGTGCTCCAATGCTGTAGGGATAGAACCGGTCAGTGGCATAAGTGGTTTCACTGATGACAATGAGATCCTTCAGCTAAGTCAACCAGCCATTGTGAAATTATATGAGGAATGCAGGAAAGGTGTATCTAAAATGGATCAAATTATTTCCAAATATAGAGTGAAGTTAAGAAGCAAGAAATGGTACTCCATTTTGGTGAGCTACATGATTGACATAGCCATGAACAATGCATGGCATCTTCACAGAGTCTCTAACCCGGGGACCTCTTTAGACTTCCTGGAATTCCGAAAATGTGTCGCACATTTCTACTTGGAACACAACACTGATCTGTCAGATTAAGGCAGATGAACAAAATGCAGACAGTAAAAAGCCAGAAGAATTAGACAGTAACCCTACCAAAGCAAATCTGATGTGTATAATGTAATTACTAAATGCTATTTTTAAAATCACATTTAGTTGTTAAGTAATACTAAAAATTATCTGAAAATGTTGAATTCCAGTGGTAACTTTTTCTGTGTCTAATTTTGTCTCGGATGTTGGAAATCATTTGTTGAATTATTTTGTACATTAAAAGAATGAAATCTTGCCCTCCCTTTATTTTTCTCTAGCAAGTGCCACCCCCGTCCCTCCCCCACTGGGAATCAGACTCTGGACCTTGAGCTTGCCAGGTAGGTGCAGTGCCACTGAGCTACATCTCCAGCCCTAGCAAGTGTCATTTTAAAATGCAGGCAATATCATAGTAACTGTAGAATGGCACTGAGTCTGTAGTCCAAAGTAGAGATAGTGCCTCTGAGCTAAAAATGAGGCACTAATACAAAAAATACACAGATTTAGTGACATCTGACTAGTGCTAGCAGTACAGTAAGTTTGGCGTGAAGACAATTTTCATTGTAGTAGATGCACTCCTACCTGAGGCAGGAGGATCACTGAGTATTTGAGGCCAACTTGGGCTACACAGTAAGACCCTGTCTCAGAAAGGTATGGGAAGGGCCAGGGTTGTGGCGCAGTGGTGCCGCACCTGCCTGGGTAAGTGCAAGGTCCTGAGTTCAATCTCTGGTATGGTGTGTGTGTGTAATGGGAGGCCAGAGAACTCATTAAAACTGGATTGGATTCTATGTGAGCAGGACTAGGGATGAATCTCAGAGGAGAGCACTATAAAGGAATAACCAAATGTGAAGAAGTGGTTTTGAACGCTCAAGTGAAAAGAATGTCCTATTGTGATTGTGTGACTTAGCAGAATAAAATATGAAGCAAATCATCATGAATCAAAGAAAATGTTAACAGTTGACATGGAACCCATGTCCAAATCACCTAAGGAGATAGTCTAGGGTGATCAGTGATAACCCAAAAAGTACTTGTTTTTTTTGTTGTTGTTTTTTGGTACCAGGGATCGAACTCGGGTCCTTGTGCTTGCAAGGCAAGCAACGGAACCACTGAGCTAAATCCCTGGCCCAAGTACTTGTGATTTCTTGGTGGTGAAATCTAGTATTGGTAGATTGCTCTCACCTGGGTTTCCAACTTTTTGGCTTGCCTGGGCCACTTGTATAGGAGAAATTGTCTTGGATCATATATAAAGCTTGCTTTATGTAAATAAACTTCTTTTTACATCCACACACACAAATTTATATATGTATGTGTATATATGTGTGTGTGTGTGTATATATATA